GCATTGATTGCAAATCAGGCTGATAATGAGGTTCACAAAATACAGTACCTGTATATTTGACTCTCCCTTTGATCTGCCTTTTAATCAACCTTCATGATGTCAATTGTTTATTGGATCCATAGCCTAGTTTGTCCTCCAAGGTTCCAGAAAGCTGGCAGTAAACAAATCAGTCCCGTATCTTGCCATATGGAAGAAAGCCTTGCCACATCAGTGGTGATTGAGTTTTAGTGCCATCAGTTTCCTGTCGCTACTGCCATCTGTTTTCCTGGCAGATTCCAGGATTTGTTCTGGCAACATTGCCCTAATACTAAAATGCATGTATTATATAAAAAAAATATCTAGTCGTATTAGATAAGAATCTCTAGTTGAATTTTCTAGCCTGCTTGCTCAACACATTAATTAATTTATTGAGCATCTGTATTAGCAACATGCTTCATAGTACTCAACCCACAGAACAGCAGCTTAATTGACAACAGATCAGAAAACATGAATAAAATCATGATTAAAATAAAAGCAAATGTCAAGCATATACCGGACAAACCTATTCACAGTTGAACTTAGCCCAACAGGATTTCGGCTGCTTCAACATCTTATTATGTATGTTTTGGAACTACTGATAGTATTCATTTCCTGAAAAAATTTTGACCCAAGTCTCGCCTGTTGGCCTTTAATAAATTTTGCAAATTAGACTCTTTTCTAACATGTATTTTTCTGTTTATTTACAAGACCATCTTGTAGTGAGCCACTACTCTGCGTGGCTTACATCAGAAAAAGACATGAAATAAAACAACAAAGAAATGAAACATCTCACTTCTATACTCCCTTGTGTCACAAACAAATAAACCCAAATTGCAAGATGGTGATGGCTATAAAACCAGTTTGGCTCAGTTACATTATCTAACTTCCTGAGGTTCTCAAAGGTAAGGAGCTAGCTGGGTGACTACAATCCCCCTGTCCAGCCCATAGCTTGGCAATTTTTTAAAAAACACAACTTTCTGAATCCTAGTTATGCTGGTTGGCGAATTTCAGCAAAGCTACTAGAAAAAAGTAGTATAGGCAAATTCTCGATGGTCAGTGGACTTCCTGCACTGAATATCCCTTTGACTAGGTGCTGCAGTTGGTTGCTTATTGAGTGTCTCTTCCCACATTTTGCTTTTTGCTTTTAAAATTGCTTTTAAAAAAATGAAATGAAAACTGAATTGTGCAATGTCCTTGAGGATTCCCTGTATTTCAAATCTCCCGTTGCTTAGTATGATCAAAAATGCAAGAAGATCAAATTTATTCTACAAAAACTGATGTCAGCTCTACTTCAACAACTGGAGCATAGATTTGCAAGAGGGGGTGCTGGCGAAGGTGAAGCTATTAAGGTGCTGCACTCAATATGACAGCAAGTTTGGAAAACTCAGCAATGGCCAGAGGATTGGAAAAGATCAGTCTACATCCCAATCCCAAAGAAGGGCAGTGCCAAAGAATGCTCCAACTACCATACAATTGCACTCATTTCACACACTAGCAAGGTTATGCTCAGAATCCTCCAAGGTAGGCTTCACCAGTATGTGGACCGAGAACTCCCAGAAGTACAAGCTGGATTTCGAAGGAGCAGAGGAACTAGAGACCAAATTGCTAACATGTGCTGGATTATGGAGAAAGCCAGAAAGTTCCAGAAAAACATCTACTTCTGCTTCATTAACTACGCAAAAGCCTTTGACTGTGTGGACCGCAGCAAACTATGGCAAGTCCTAAAAGAAATGGGCGTGCCTGACCACCTTATCCATCTCCTGAGAAACCTATACATGGGACAGGAAGCAACAGTTAGGACTGGATATGGAACAACTGATTAAAATGGGAAAGGAGTACAATAAGAGTACAATAAGACTGTATATTGTCTCCCTGCTTATTTAACTTATATGCAGAATACATCATGCAAAAGGCTGGACTGGATGAATCCCAAACCAGAGTTAAGACTGCCAGAAGAAATGTCAACAACCTCAGATATGCAGATGATACCACTCTGATGGCAGAAAGTGAGGAGGAATTAAAGAACCTCTTAATGAGGGTGAAAGAGGAGAGCGCAAAACATGGTCTGAAGCTCAACATCAAAAAACCGAAGATCATAGCCACTGGTCCCATCACCTCCTGGCAAATAGAAGGGGAAGATATGGAGGCAGTGACAGATTTTACTTTCTTGGGCTCCATGATCACTGTAGATGGTGACAGCAGCCACACAATTAAAAGACGCCTGCTTCTTGGGAGGAAAGTGATGACAAATCTAGACAGGATCTTAAAAAGCAAAGATATCACCTTACCAATAAAGGTCTGCATAATCAAAGCTATGGTTTTTCCAGTAGTTATGTATGGAAGTGAGAGCTGGACCATAAAGAAGGCTGACCGCCGAAGAATTGATGCTTTTTAATGGTGGTGCTGGAGGAGTCATGAGAGTCCTGTGGACTGCAAGGAGAACAAACCTATCCGTTCTGAAGGAAATCAACCCTGAATGCTCACTGGAAGGTCAGATCCTGAAGCTGAGGCTCCAATACTTTGGCCATCTCATGAGAAGAGAAGACTCCCTAGAAAAGATCCTGATGTTGGGAAAGTGTGAAGGCAAGAGGAGGATGGCAGAGGATGAGATGGTTGGACAGTGTCATCAAAGCAACCAACATGAATTTGACCCAACTCTGGGAGGCAGTGGAAGATGGGAGGGCCTGGCGTGCTCTGGTCCATGGGGTCACAAAGAGTCGGACATGACTTAATGACTAAACAACAAAGCTGGTGAAGGAGTGTCTCTCTGCCTCTCTTTGCACATATGTTCATTGCCCACGCACCCACCCTCTTGCCCATATATATGTCTCCTTTTGTCTGGACTCTGCTCACTACTGGCTGCTATGCTTTCGCCCTGCCAGTCTAGGGCCCACCGAGCATCAGTCACAATTGTCTTGTAAAAAACAAACAGAGAAGTTGTTCCAAAACAATCGAGAGCCCAATCCCTGTGCCCATTTGAAATTGCTGGCTTTGAATTCCAAATTCATCACTGCTTAGAGACTAGACAGGAGTCTTGTTTTCAGACCTGCCTGCCAGCCATCACCATTAACTGGGCATCTGGGAAGGAAGCCCTACTGAAGAGGGGCGAATCAAGCAGTGTCTTTTGAGTACGGCTCCCAGGTTTGGAAATTCTTCTGCAGGGAGCTCTGTCTGACAGCAGTACTTTCTCAGTGTTGAGCAAATATCTCCTTAATGTTTCTGAGCAATCTTGCCTCGTTACAGAATTGCTTGTTGCATAATCATTATTTAAAACTTGGTGCAAACAGCCCTGATAAATTTACATGGAAAGGCAATATAGGACTCTGATGAACTAACAGGATCACAGCACAAAATGTTCACAATGTTTACCAGCTCCATGGAGAAGAAAGGAGGGAGATGGTCTTCAGGCACTTACTTAGTGATGGCTGGGAAATCATTTTTCTTTTCATGCCCATTGTTACATAAACAAGACCTGTGGTGTTCTGTGTGCGAAGGGAGAAATCAAAGAGGGTTTTACAAGAATGGCTGGCTAGATAACTCAGCGAGTTAAGTACCAGAGGCTGGAAGTTCGATTCCCCACTTGTGCCTCCAGGGAGAAAAGCCAACCTGTGTGGCTTTGGGCAACCTGCACCGTCCCAGGGCGCCCCCTAGAGGAAGGGAAGGGGAAGCCACTTCTGGGTACATTTCTCTTTATCTAGAAAACACTGGAGAGTATGACCCTAATTGACTTGATGGCAAATTATTATTA